CGATGGGACTCTGGGGAAGATGAGTCATGGAGTAGCGGCTCCTGGGGGCGGGACCAGAAAAGCCTGTGTTCCCCTGAACAGACCGGGCACCTCCGAGGGGAGGCCGTTCCTGACCTCTGCTCCCGTGGTCGGGCAGGCCCCCCAGGGGTGCTTGGGGCAGGGCGGGAGGGCCTCTGTCTACCGCGAGCCCTGGACAGGGAGTCTCAGTGGAGGGGTGGGAACAAATGCGGGGACAGGGGAGTGGCAGCACAAGATTTAAACTCAGAGGCCAAGGAGACTGCGGAAGACAGGCTGGGGTGACTCTGACAGACAGCAGTGCTGACCCCAGTGGCTGCTTGCCCGCAGGGGGCGGGCACCGCGTCTGGGGTCTCCTCTGTGCTGCCGCCGCCGCTCTTACAGACCTTGTCCTACCTAGACCTTCCGGGAGCCCCCAGAGCAAAGGCATTACTGCTTTCATTTTAAAGATGAGGGAACTGAAGTCAGGAGAGTTGTCGAAGTAAAAGCCAGGGTGTGTAAAAGATCAGGATGTGTGCGTGACCTTGCAGCACACGTCCTCAGCCCACTTTGCACGTAGCCTTTGGCACAACCAGCGCCAGCCACGTGGGCTGCCTTCTTTTTGAAAAGGTTTTAATATTTACATACAGGATCCTTCACTCTCGGGGTTGAGTTTTTTGCATTTTTGACAAAAGCAGAGATTGAACGGGCTTTCTTAAGTTTTAAGTTTTATGGCCATTGGAAATTCTCAGGTAGTTGTCAAATGATAGCGGGAACTCCTGTGTACCCGCTATAGTTTCCCTCAATAGTTACATCCTGCAGAACCATCACAAGCCAGAAAGGGACAGTGGTGTAGTCAGGATACAGAACATCGTCACCAGGGAGCCCTCCTTTTCATACCCACACTCGCCTCCCTCCCGCTCCCGCCCCTCCCCCCCACCTCAACCCCTGGCTGCCATGAGTCTAGTTTTCATTTCTATAATTTTATCATTTCAAGAGTATTATGTAAATGGCTTCATGCACTTATTAACCTTTGGTGACCGGGCGTTCTCACTCAGCGCAACTCCCCTTTGATGCTGAGTAGGATTCCGTGGTTTGCTTGTAGCACGATTGGTTTAAGCTTGCACCTATTGAAGGATATCAAGGTGGTTTCCTGGCTTTGACTGTTAGGAATAAAGCCTTTATGAACATTCCTGTGCAGGTTGTTGTGGGACGTAAGTTTGCATCTCTCTGGGATTACATCCAAGGAGCGTACTTCCTGGGGTCGTGTATGGTCATTGCTTGCGTGGGCTTTGAAAGGACGCATTTGGGGTGGAAAGGCGGGGGTGGGGGGATGCGCAGAGCCCCTGTTGCAGGTGGGCACTGGCAGGGAGCACAGGCCTGGCAGCTGGTGCACCTGGGTTCAAACACAAACTCACTCATCTATGAAATAGGAATAATTGAACCTGTCATGTAGCTGATGTGTGTAAAGCATCTGGTATACAGTAGGTGCTCCAAAGACAGAAGCTGCTCTTGATGTGAGTTAAAGAAAAAGCCCAGGCCAGAGCAGGGTCTGTACCTCAGAGGTGTCCTCAGGAGGCCTTCACCTCCTTTTTACTTAGGGCAGAGCCGTGCACCCCGTTGTCCCTTCAAAGGCCAAGCCCCTGGCTTCTTCCTGAGGAGTTCCCGACCCAGTTCTTGGCCTGGGCTCCAAGTCTCTGCGCGGACACCAACGTTCCCCAGTGAACTCGGCCAGGCCCACGCCACGGGTCCGAGGGGTCCCAGAGAGTTCCAGCTCGCACCACGCCCTCCTGGTCTGGATGTGCGTCACAAGGTCTGAGACTTCCCAGCCCGCTTCAGGTGTTGCTGTGACTGAGCCCCATTCCACATGCGTGTACTGAGCTCTTAGTGTATTCCAGGCACAGGGCTAGGTGCTGCACAGGGTTCAGACAAAATCACTCTCAGCCGCTGCGAGCAGCCAGCTCCGGCCTCCCGGGGGGCCCCTGCAGCCCCAGGGCAGGCCCCGCTCGGCCCGGCATTCAGAGCGTTGGTCTGGTTTGCACCTTGTCTTTCCAGCTCCTTGTCCTGCTGCTGCTTGTTCTCCACGTCCCCCGGGCTCCAGCCACCGCTGTGCTCACTGTCCCCGACGCAGCTGGACAGGGCAGGCCCGCGCTTTGCTCACACTCACCCTTCTGCCCTGGTGTCTTTTCCCTTCCTGTTGAAATCTTGCCTGTTTTCTTTTTAATCAAAAAGGGACCATGTGCACTGGATGAAATATTGAAACAGCACGTGAGGCCTTCTCCCACTCCAGAGCCACTGTCCCTCCCCGAGGCCACCGCGGTGATGGGACCGTGCTGGCTCCTCTCTTGCTGTTTGCACGTCAGCCTCTCTTGGAGAGTGTTCACATCTGTATTGTTAAAACTGCGGTGAAGACGACCCAGTATTCCTCTATGTGCCGACACCGTGATTTATGCACCCTCTCCCCTGTTGACGGACATCCAGGCCGCCCACTCACAGGCAGCGCTGTGTGTCCTTGGCCCCTGTGCAGAGGGGTCTGCCCAGGACTCTGCTCCAGTGTCCCCTCCCCTGCCTCCCATTGTGCCCCTGAGGCCCAGGGCTGTCCCGCACCTTCTCTCTTCTTCTAGTGCCTGCTGTGTTGACTGCCCATCCAGTCCCCAGGTAGTCACGCCCCACCTCGCAGCCTCCCGCTGCTCCTGTGAACCGTGGTGTCCTGCAGGGGCTCCGGTGGGGACAAAGCTCCCAGAGCCTGGACGCCTCCAGCCAGCTTTGTGCTTGGTGCCTGGTGGCTGCGTCGGCTGCGTTGGCTGGGCTAACCTGTTTCCATGGCAATAGATTTTAGCAGCATCCTTCTTGCTGACCACCTCCTGACTCACCACAGGGGTGGTCTATAAGACAGCCAGTCCCCCCTTGATGGAACTTAGCCTTTAAAAAATTGGATGGAATGCTCCTTTAAAAATGTTGAGAGGACACATGCGTGGGTGTTCATTGCTGAGAAGGGATCGGGCCCCACTGGTTCCCCCATGAATGAGTGACAGTTGCTGCTGTTTACTGGGCGCTTCCTCCAATGAGCAGGGGCTTCTCACTCGGCCAGAGCTTGCGTTCTGCTTTCATGGGGTACAGTACTCTTCCGAGGCAGCCACAGCTCTTAGGGAAACTGAGGCTCAGAATGTAAATTACTTGGTGAAGGCCACTCAGACACCGCGTTTCAGGAGCCGGGCGTCCAACCCAGGTGTGCTTCCTCCTAGGGAAGACGCAGGTGACAGGCTGGGCTGCCCGAGCACAGAATCGAGGCTGCACCCAGAAGGGATGGCCACTGCCAAGCCTCGCCTCTGCCACCAAGGAGGCACAGAGGGTCCCTTTGAAGGGACAGTGTGGGAGCACCCCCCGGACGCTGCTTGGCGTGTCCCGGATCGCTCCCGAGCCAAGTGTCCTGGGCCCGGCGGGCCGACTCGGCCCGGACTCGCAGGAGTGGTCTGAAATTCTCTCCTTGCGCAGGTCGCTCTCGGTTGGGATGTGTGGCCCCGGCCTTGAGGCGGGGCAGGGCCCTTGGGGTCTCCGGATTGAGCGTGGGGCCTGTGCCCCTACACCGGGCCTCCCTTCCCCAGCAGCCAGGCCTTTGACAATGTATTGATTTCCCTCCTCCCGTCCCCGCTTTTGCACTTTGGATGAACCTTGTTTTCGAAGAACAGTGGAAGGTAATTTTCCTGGGCTTGCCAGCTGGCCCGTAATTGAGCAATTTCAATAACACCCACTGTAAAGTCTAATTGAAGTAAACAGGAAAATATGATTTACAATCTGGACAGCAAGTCAATACCAGGGTGCAATTAATTTTTACACAGAGCAGCAGATTCTGAAACATTTTCCCGCACTGAGCAGTTTGTTTTTAATTACAGATCAGGAGTTGCCTTTCTGTGTATGTCTTACTTTCATCATCTCTGCTTTTTACTTTTTGATGGTGATCACCAGGTTGCGGGTCCCACCTGTAGACATCCTTTGGAGGTGTCACCGCAGAGGGGTGGGATGGGACAGAGAGTCAGGAAAGTTTGCTGGTGAGGGGTGACTTGTCCAACCTGAGTGGGAGGCCATGCCCGCGGTTTGCTTGGCGGGAGCTGGTGGCGGCATTTGGGGGAGTTGAGGGCATGTGACGGGGTGTACGGAACAGTGGTAGGAGGAGCCCGTGACTGCTGGGAGCTCAGTGCACTGTGGGCAGAGGGGCCCCGAATGGGCTGTGACTTGGTCTGCCTCATTCTCGGGAAGGGACAAGGCCACAAAAGCCCCCAGGGTTGCCCACACGTCCTTGTGGAAGTGTGGTCCTTCCAAGGATGGGAGTTACCACAGGTGCTTTTCGGGGGACCCTCCTGAGTTTTCCAGTAGCTTCTATTCATTGCTTGGTGGGGAAGACTGGCCACCTTGCCGGCTGCGGGTCCCCCGCTGCTTGGCTGACTGGCTACCTTGCCGGCTGCGGGTCCCCCGCTGCTGGCTGACTGCCCGAGGGCCAGCAGCGGGGTTGGCGCAGGTGCGACCCACCCCCAGCCTGCGGTGGGGAGGTGTGGCAGCCGTCTGTAAAGCCAGCTCAGTGTAAGATGTCACGCTGCTTGATCACACTTGGGGAACAGCAGAGGGGGCACCCTGAGATGGGTCTTAAAGGTGCCACATGGCTGCACTGAGATTCATCTTTGTACCCATCCAGGCGTTGGCTTTAGGGACCCTTCAAGGAGGCTCCAAGAGGGCGACCTGGCCTTCGAGGCCCTCCCAGAAGTCTGCCCTTCAGCAGGGGGGCTGGCCCGGCACGGGGAGCGGGCAGTGCTGTCGGGCCCTGGTCTTCCCCGGTTCTGAATCCCTTTGCCTTCCTTTTTTTGGTCTTCCCAGGGAGTTGACCGCACTTGGCCATTTCCTGCCAGAGCCCCACCCCAAGGGTGAGGGCCGATGGGGAGCTGTTTCTGCTGACATCAGTCACCTGGGAGGTGCCTCTGTCTGAGTCTGCCCAACTGAAGATGGCTCGCGCCCACCCTGGGACAGAGCCCAGCTCCTGAGGTCCTTACCATGGTGATGATCCTAAGGAAAAGCCTCGACAGCCAGGGCGCCGACTCCGTAGCGTGCAGGACCTTCAACTCTGAGCTGGTAAGGACCCAGTGGACTTGGTTTCTCTGATCTCCGTGCTGAGGCCTGGTGTCCTGCGGGGGCTGTGGACGGAGCACGCAGGCCTAGCAGACCGAGTCCAGAGTGCCCGAGGGCAGAGCTCTGTGGGACGCTGCCAGCCAGGCAGGGTGGGGGCAGAGGAAGCCAGAGCCTGGCTAAGGACAGTCCTTGCAAAAAGGAAGTAGCTGGCCCGGACCGGAGCCTTCTGGTGAGTGAGGCAGGACGGCCAGCCCCCGGTCAATCACACGGAGCGAGCGTGGCTCCGCAGCCCCAGCCCGGCTGAGACCCACATTCCTTCTGGTCTCCGCCCGGTAAGGGGAGGTGGCGCCCCGAGTGGGGCCCGAGATAAGGCCATACCTCCAAGGGGTGGTGCAGGGCATGGGCAGCCGCTGGAGGAATGTGCAGAGTGGGAGATGTTGGAGAAAGAAGGCGCGGTCTGGTGGCCGGCGCGGCGGGCCGTGGTGACAGCTGCCCTCGGCTGCCGTCCGCCCAAGTTGTCCTCTGAACAAATGGCCCGGCGGGCTGGGCCAGAGAGGCAGACAAGCAGCTGTCACCGTGAGAACAGAACGGCCGCCTTGCCCGCCGCAGCCCCGGCCCCTCTGGAGCCAGCAGGCCACCCCCTGCACAAGCGGCAGGAGGAAGTCCCGTTCAGGCAGGCGCACTCCTGTGGGGGGGTTTGTAGATGGGGGAGCCCCCAGGACTCTGCACGTCTGGGGCCCGCGGGGAGCCCACTGTCTGGGGGCATGTCACCTGGCACCCCCCGGCCCCCGTGGCATCCCCTTCGGGGCACCCCCACTAGCACCCCTGTGGGCTCCGTCCATTTTTGCTCCCTAATGGCGGGGCTGAGAGTAGCAGGCGGGGCCCTGGGCCTTGCAGGGGCTTGCAGAGGCCACCGAGACCTGTGTCCCCTCCACAGGCCTTGACAGAGCACCTGGGGCGTGTCAGGCGCTGGGCCGGGCGAACTGCGCAAACAAAGATGAGTCAGGGCTCTGCCCATCACACTGCCTCTCCAATTTGCACTTGACGTGTATCCGTAATTAGATCCCCCTCCGCATCCCGGACCCTGTAGCTGTCCAGGATGCTTGTGGGAACTGGTCCCCTGCTTCTGGCTCCTTCAGCCTGTTCCCCGCCTAGCAGCCGGAGGGAACACAGTCAGACCTGCCCGTCCTCTGCTCAGAACCTTCCACCCGCATCCCGTTCAGGAAGGCCCCACGGACCCTGGCCCCGTGACCACTCTTCTCTCTCTGCAGCCCACCCCCCTCCCCCACACTGCTCAGGTTGCACCTGCTCCGTGCTCAGGCACGCGCCTGCCTCAGGGCCTTTGCACGTGTTCCCTGGCCTGGAAGGCTCCCCCTCTGCAGGGCTCCCCTCCCTTCCTTTGTCCTCTGGCCAGCCAGCCTAAAACTTAACTCCACTACCACCCTTACCTCCCCCTAGAATACATGCTTTCTGTCCCTTTTCCCTCTCTCTCTTTCCTCGCAAGTCCTTCCTAGCATTTGGACCTTGTGTATTGAATGGCTCCTGCACTAGAATGTGGGCATTTTGTCTCTTTTGCTTGCTGCCGCAGGGCCTGTGCGTAGAGCCAGGGCCTGGTCCACGGCGGGGGCCCCGTGGGCATCGCAGAGGGCACAAACACAGGGTCCCGGAGCCCTGTTTCTCCTTGGCTTGCCGCTGTTTTAGTCTCTCTCCAGCTGCTGCCCAGGTGCATGGCTGAGGTTGCCCTGTTTTCTGTTACTGGTGGGTGTTTTCTGCTGAACCTAAGGAATGCATCTAGAGTCGCTCTGACAAGAAGCGGATGGTGTTCAGGGTGAGGGCCTTCTGGAGGTCCCAGCGGAGGATCCCTGCCCCGTTCCAGCTGCACTGTTGGTCGCAGCAGCTGCCGCTGAACTTGGTCCCGTGTCAGAGCGGACCTGGCTGGGCTCGGCCCTGGAGCTGGTTCCAGGGCACGTGGGCCTGAGGTCAGCTGACCCGCTCTTCAAATAGACGTGGTCTGAGCTCCTGCCAGGAGCAGTATAGCCTCCCAGTCCTATCCAGGGAAGGGACGCTCACCCTCTCCACAAAGAGAAGGAAAGAAAACCAAGGGAAGCAAACAGGCCACCGAAAGGGACTGTGCACACACTCCCGCTCCTGGATGGGTCAGAGTATTCTTTCTCCTTGGGAAGTCGGCTGCTCCAGGCCCTTAGGGACCCCGCACAGACCTGTGGGCCCCTTGTCCTCCTCTTCCCTCCCGTTGCCTGCCAGACGGGCAGGCCAGCTGTGGGGAGCGGCCCCCTTTGGAGAGGAGCTCGCATTGTCCGCGTATTGGTGCGTCACGGTTGCCAGGGTGCAGCCTTTGCGTCCAGGCCCTTGTGTCTCACACCTGGGATCTGCACACACGCTCTCAGGACTCTGCCAGGCCCCCTGGGGAGGCAGGGACTGAACCAGCACAGGGAAGAAGGACCCCAAGTAATCTCAGCCTAGTGATAACATCCACTAGACAGAACGTGAGATAAACTGATGGGAGAGTTTGCTCTGAGTGGCCTGCAAGCTTAAGAGGAAGTCTGTGGGGGTTTGGCTTCAGCTTCCTAGGCCACTAACATCATCCTCACGTAAGTACCGTCAAGATAATAACAGGAAAGGGGAAAGGCTTTCTCTTTTTGTTTTCTAATGAGACTTAGAAGATAACAGAAGTGGGGATTTAAAGTGAAAAAACAAAATGTGAAGCACCGCAGGCCACTTTGGAATTGTGGGAGGAGGTCCCAGAGGCACAGCGTGAAGAAGCAAAGTCTCAAACTGCTGGTGAAAGTCACCTGGGGGCCACCCGGGGGCCTTGGACACCTGGGTGAGGAAAGTCCTGCAGAGCGGCCAGCCCCCTTCCGGCCCTTCCAGGAGCCCGTTCAGTGGCTCTTGGTCTCCTCTTTCTAAAAACTAAATGCTGGTGGCAGCATGACCGCACTCACTCCCCAGAGAGGTGAGGGAAAACAGAAAAAGGGACTGGCGCGCGCGCTGTGTTTTGCCTTTCCCCCCCGGGGGCGGGCGGTGGCCGGGGCGCCGCCGTGCCCCCAGCCCCGCTTGCACAATGGGCAGCGGGGACAGTGCTCGGTTCCCCTTTCCCCCACTCCGCTGCCGCCGCCGCGCTCCCCGCTGCCCAGTGGTGGGCTCTTCCTTCCAGCGTTCTAACATTAGCTGCTGCCGCTGGCACGCCGCCCAGACATTTGACCTTGGGGACAGCGTTCCTCCAGCTCCTTCCCGCTCGCCCACGCGCAGGCCCAGGGCTGGCGCGCTTGCTCCAGAGGGACCGGCTTCCCTAGCCAGGCCCGGCCTCTGCGGCCCTGCAAGTCTCCCAGCCCCCTCCGTGGACTGGAGGCCAGAGGGCGCTGGGGTGGAGTGTGCCCCAGGCGGCTTCGCTTTCCTCAGCGCCGTGGTGTTTCCCACGACAGCCTGCACGGGTTTGTGGAGCAGGCCCTGCCTCCTTCCGCTTGTCAGAGCAGGGCGTCAAGGCTAAGCAACTTGCTCAGTCAAAAGAAATAGTGGCCACATCAGACCTTGCACCCAGCTGCCTGGGCTCTTGGGGCACTTACTGTGCCTCGGAGTGGGCATCAGGCTCAGCAGCCCCTGCCAGGACCCACTGGCCGGCCTGAAGTTCGAACCTAGGGGTGCTGGATCTGAGGCAGTCTGATGCCCCTTTTCCCCCGGGGCAAGCCACGGCACCAAAGGGCAGGCCCGTGCTGGGCTGACCCCTGAGCCTGGGGAGGCAGGGCGCCAGTTGCATCTTGGTTCAGGTCTTCGAGAGCCTCCAGCCAAGGGCACTGCTGCTTTCTCAGCTTCTCTTTTACCCCGGGGCCTGGCCCTCCCTTCTGCTTTCCACGGCCATGGGCTCCCCTGTGTTCTGTTTCAGAGGCTGGGGTGCTCCGCTGGCTCCCCTCCCGTGCGTCAGTGTGAGCTCGCCTGGGTGGCATTGCGGTTCCCTGTGATGCTGCTGCGTCAGGAGGAGGAAAAAAAGCGACGTGATGGGTGACGGCTTCACTCAGTAACCTGCAGAGGAGAGCGAGGGAGGAGCACGGTTATGGCCATTCACTGTCTGAGTTAGTTCCTCATTGAAGAAAGACCTGAATTGTGTCTTTACTGAAGTCAGGGCGTAGTCAGAGACAGGGCCCCGGGGTCTCAGTTTGATTGGCAGCTTTTGCCTTTCCCATGCAAGATCTGATTCCAGAATCTTCTCTTGTGATCTAAGGAATCTCACAGAGACCAGGCCCTGCCCTGGGGGAGGCGTCACACTGGGAGAAGTACCCAGGAGAGGGGTGCTGTGCTCCCTGTCCTGGGTCGCTGCAGACACGTTGGTGCGCGCCTGTGTGCACCTCGAGTGCGCGCGCACGGCGCGGGGGTGGAGGCTGTCAAGGGGCGAGGGCTCGTCCTTCCCACAGCGGGTGTGAGCGTCCAAGGGGCACAGAGAATCTGTCTGCAGAGCCGCACAAAGGAGTGGGAATTTTAGCCTGGACTGGGTACACTGGGAATAACACGTCCAGGACAACCTGGAGCCCAGCGAGCACCTCGGTGTTGGATCCTAGGAAGCCCGCCAGTGGCCAGTGCCCGAGCCCCGACTGCCTGGGAGGCCGCCGGGCGTGGGGTGTCCCGGCCTGCCCGCCGCCAGCCCAGCCTCAGACAGGGCTCAGGAGACAAGGTGGGGCCTCTGATTCTATTTTTTTTTCCCCTTTAGCTACCCCAACAGGAGGCCCAAAGCCCCAGAGGCAAGTATTTAGCCCGTGACTATGTCAGGCCTTAGGGTTGGCTTTAAAATTGCCCCTGTCCTATCAGTGAGTTGACATTTCTCCGTAATTACTTTGATGGGCATTCTCTACACACAAAAACCAGTTTGACTGAATGGATGATCACAAAGAGGAAAGAGGAAAAGGAGGAGGAGAAAGCTGCACTTCGTTAAAACAACAAACAACTACATTGTACTGTAAATATGTTTTTGGTTTAGCAGTTTTAACTTAGAAATCTTTCCTCCTCGTGGTTCTGAAAACCTCTTCTCAAAGCTCACTTCTAGCAGTTTCTCAAGCAGCCGGGCCATGGCTCACTCAGCCATTAGCCTCTTGAAGCTCAGCACGAAATTGGCCAGGGTCCCTCCGTTGTGAGAACCAGACCATCTGCGGCTAACTTGCACCCAAAGAGAGTTGACTGGAGCGTCGGGAGAGAACGCGAGGGCTGGGGGGGAGGTGGTGCCTGAAGCCCGGAAAGGCAGGGACAGGCGGCCCGGAGGGTTTTGGAAGCAGGCGCTCGCAGCCGGCTGTGGCCGTTCCCAGGCGGGGAGCCGGCCCCTGCTGGCCCAGGCGTCAGGGCCCCGGACCCGGAAGGTCTGGTCGGCCACACCCACATTCTGTGCCCACCCCATGCCAGAGGAGATCTGGGCACAGTCCCACCATGACCTATGCAGTGGTGGGGGCCCCTGCCCTAGGGCAGAACGGAATTGGGGTGCTGTTTGCAGAAGAAGCAGGCTGCACCCCCAGTCTGTGCAGTTTCACATGCTCCGTGAGGGGCCCAGGAGCGGAGGCCCCCCAGAAGAGCAGACTTGGGGGAGGGGTTCCTTCAAATTGTAGACTCTTTGTGGGAGCCACCGGTGGTCCACTGTGCCCTTGAGGGCAGAGTCAGAGGCAGCCCGAGGAGCCCAGGCCGGCCCGGGGACATGCCCACTTCTGTTGCCCGGCGCTATGGTCCCTTCCCCGCTGAATTCCGTCTTGGCACGAGCCCAGCCTTCGGGGAGGCAGCCAGTCTGCCCAGCGAACACCCATTTCCATGGGCCCCGCAGCCGCTGGGCATGTCGCGGCGTGAGCTGGCGGCCGTAGCGGCTGGGCAGCCGGGAGCCGCATGGTGCCTGCTCTGCGCTGGGGCAGGACAGCAGCCTCGGGAAGCGTGGGTCACGGGGGAGGGCGGAGAATAAGCCCAGAAGCAAGTGAGCTGGTGTACGTGGCCCAGCCCCAAACAAGACCGAGCGAGACAAGCAGGGCGGGGAGGGTGCCCTTCCAGCCAGGTGGTCAGGGAAGGCCACAGAGGAGGCCACGCGATGGGGCTGAGACGAGAGCCCGTCGTGCACGGGCCCCACCGCAGAGTCGCTGGGGGCAGCGAGCTGGCCGGTCCTGCTGAGCCGAGCGCGGGAGCATGGGATGGACCTGGCGGGACTGAGGGCGCCGGGCCGGGCTCACTTGGGCGTCTGGTGGGCTGTGGGGAGGGGGGCGGCCTGGGTTTTATTCTGGCTGCTGTGGGAAGTAGCCGGAGGGTGGTAAGCAGAGGAACAGGATGGGCTGGCCTCCGCGGAGTCCGGGTGGAGAACGCAGAGCAGCCCAGGGCACAGCGGGGGCACCAGGTAGGGGGCTGGCTCAGTGGAGGGCAGGGGAGGCCCCGATCAGGGCCACAGTGACTGAGAAGCACTCCCGTTCCAAGTGTCCGCCCTCCAGCCTGGAAATGAGTCTGCAGCACACACAGCCAGGCCCTTGCTGAGCGAGTGAGCAAGCGAAGGAGTGAACGGAGGCCTGGGGGCCCCTGTGCGCCGGCCCCGTGGCTTCCTTCTGTGGGTGCAGGTCCAGAAGCCCTGGGGTCCTCTCACGCGTGCACGTTCCCTGGAAGAGCCCGAGGCGCCCCTCCATCTGGAACGCGTGGCTTCGTTGAAGGAGGCAGCCAGTGAGCAGGGACATGACTATAGGCCAGTGTGTGCTTGCGTCTTGCTGTTGTCTGCGGGTCCCGAGCCCTGCTCAGCGGCCCTGGCATCCAGCGCAGCCCACAGGCCGCAGCGGACTCCTTGCTCTCTTCTGCTTTCTCCAGCCCGATCCTGGCTGGGGTTTCTGTGGGGTCCTAACTCGGGGGGTGGGGGCTCTGGTTCCCCAGTGGGTGCTTGCTTTGTGCTGGGCGCTCCTGTGGCGTTGGAGCTGTCTCCCTCAGCAGGCGAGGCCTGAGGCTTTGGCTGGGCCCGGCTCCTCCCTGCCTGAGTCTTGCAGGGCTCTTGACTTTGTTACCTGCCCTCCATTGGGTGCCTTCTCCTCGAGGTGCGGGCCTTCGGTGTGTGTCCTGCTGCATGAACTTAGCCAGTGGGGAGGGTTCCGTCGCTGGGGTCCAGGAGGGCTACCGGTCCTGGCAGCGTAAGAATTGTTCTGAACAGAGGTCGGGGCACTGGTGGAGACGGCCCTCCCCCTCTGCCCCTTGCGAGCGCCTCCTGGTCCTTCGGCACAGGCTCCAGTGCTTCCCTGAGGAAGCCAGCCCGGACCGCCAGCACCTGCAGCCTGGGTCACCTCCCCCCTGCCCCACTCTCTCTGTTGTGCAAGGGATCTGTCTGTGTGACTGAGCTTCCTGAGGGCCAGGGCGGGCATCTTCACCTCTGTGCCCCAGGCTGGTCACGGTGAACCCTCATAAGCTGATCGGATGATCACATATCAGACTGAGGGCAAAGATCCCCGCATTGGGCAGCTGGAGACAGGGGTGGGGAGCTGGTGCCAGGCGCTTACTGCCCCTCTTATCTGGGTGGGCCAGGTGTTCCTAGTTAGCCCCACCCTCGTCCTTCCAGGCCTTAAAGAGCCAGGGCCTCCATTCCTCTTGGAGGTTGGGGCCCTGTCATCAGCCGAGGGCTCTGGGGCTGAGAGCTTGTGTCACTGTTACGTGATCAGCCCGCAGGTGTTCACTGGTGACCCTGCATGAAGGTCACCCGTGGTAAAGGTTTGTGGGTGGGTGGATGGATGGATGGATGGATGCATGAGTCTTTGGAATGCCTGACCAGAAGCTTCTCCTTGAGGCCATGATGGGCAGGCACAGTCCTCTCCTCACCAGCGGTCAGGGCAGGCCTGTTGACTTGAGCCTCAACTAGCACAGGGACCCCAGAATGTCCCCAGCTCAGGTTTCTGTGCAGCTGCGGAGCGCGTGCCCAGGCTTGGGGCTCTGCCGGGCCTCCTCGCTGGCCTGCGTTTCACCCACTGGCCCTCGCACTCTGCTGCAGCTGGATGCGGGGCTGGGGAAAGATGGAGGCCGTCCCCAGCGGAGAGGGGAGCCGCGGTGGGGACGTGGTGCCAGGCAGCCCAGAGGCCAGCGCTGCCTGCTGAGAGCACCGATCACCTTGGAGTATCTGTTCCAGTTCAGAGAGGGTGCCCGGGGGTGGCGGAGCGCTTCTGTCCTCTGCTTGAGGCTCTTCCTGCCACTCTGAGGTCCCCGCCCATCCCGGCCTCGGGTGTGGGGGGCAGTTCTTTGTAGCCCAGCTTGGTGAGCCGTGCACATCGCAGCTCCCCCCATACCCTCCCGCAGAGAAGGCCCCGGCGGCCAAAGTCGTGGGACTTGCCTGTGGGTGTTTGCAGCCCCACGGACTCCGTAACCCACTGGAGACCGCGGGCCAAGAGTCCAGGCCTCATGACAGGCAGGCATTGTCTCTTCCGATGCTTTTCTCTCCTTTTGCGAATCTGACGTCGGCCACAGGCCGTTCCCCCTGTCATTGTGACTTTAGCACGGGCTCAGCGCAGGGTCATGTGCAAATGTGCTTCTTATGACTTGAAGAGTGAATAGCTTTTCTGGTTGTTTTCAGCACACGCCAAAGAAGATGAGTCACGGACCGACACTTTTCTCTTGTGGAGTTATGGGTGAGTAACCGAGGTGGCTGGGAGCAGTCCTTCCCTGGTCCTTCCACCGGGGCCTGAGTCCTCCAGGTGAGACCCGAGAGCACTGTCCGGACACAGGCGCGAGGAGCAGCCGTGGGGACTCTGGTCTGTGTGTCCTAACCGTTTTGGTCCCAGCGGTGCAGGGGCTGCCGGGCCGGGTACTGGTGTGTGGTCGGCAAATGGAACCCCAGCTACAAAACGGAGAGTTTCTGTCTGATGATTAAAGGAACCATGTTCATTGTTTTGAATTCAGAGAACGCACCATAGTATAGAGTATAAGATAAAAATCCCCATAGCCCCATTACCCAGCGGTAACTTCTGTTACACGTTGGTGTATTTTTATGTGTTTTGCACTTTTTTCCTAGCGAAGTCCATGATGAACACACGAGTATGTAAAATTATATACAAAAAGTACTTCCTTTGCTCTTCTCAGGAGTAGTTACCATCGTTTTCCCCACAGCACTGAGCTGATCGGGTCCACGCATTTTAATGAGCGTATGGTACTGCATTGTGCGGACGCGCGGAATGTGCTTACTGATTGAACTGCTTCTTGGTCCTTGGGTGGAAGGGTGTTTTGTTTGCTGTTGTGATTAACATGACTAAGTGCCTAAGCTGCGTCTGCCTTCTGGATTATTCCTCGGGATAGTTCCCACGAGGGGGACAGACAGGCGGGAGGGCAAGCGCGGGCAGCTTTGAGGTGCTTGCTTCTCGCTGCTTTCCGGAAAGGTTGCCTTGGTCCTTGTTCTTTCCAAGGGGCTGGAAAAGTGACTTTATTGGCCGGATTGAGGTCTCACGCTCCAGGTGATGATGAGGTCCTGCTTCTCCTCTCGCCACCTGTCTCTCCGTGACTCCTGTTCCTTGGGGGGCACTCTGGTGGGGAGTTCGGTGACATCTTTGTCGAGGTGGCAGCCAAACCTCCACGGCGGGTCGCCGCTGTGGCCTCCCGGCCTCGGCCTCAGCCGTCCCCTCTGTGCACGGTGTTTGCGCTCTCTTTTTCAGACCCTGTGCCCAAAGGTGAGCCGGCAGGGTGGCGGGGTGCTGGCGTGTCGCCGCAAGCATGTCGCCGGGCCACGCTCCTTGCCGGCAGCATCCTCTTGACTCTGCAGCCGCTTCGGGGGCGGGCAGGGCGCTCCATCCACGTATGAGGGAACCAAGGCTGAGGGAGGTGATCCCCCAGGCCCCTCGGTGTGGGGAGTTGGACCCAGGTGGGGGGAGAAGGAAGATTGTTTTCAGTCACAAGCCACAGCTCGGAGGGAGAGCCCAGGCGGCCGCCTGCCACCAGAGGAAATGGAAACAGGGAGATCACCTGGCCTTGGTTTCCCCGTGTGACACACTTCTGAGGCCCGTCCCCACATGGGGCGCGATTGAACACCTCGTTAGTGGTTAACGGCTTTCAGCGAACCCTTAGCGACCCAGCCACATGGCCCAGACGCCTGCCTCATCTGGGTCGGGCTCACAGTTGAGCGACAGTGGAGCTGCCCTGCTTTGTCACAGCAGGCGGCGGAGAGGCTCCGGGCGCGCCCTCCCCCAGCCCAGCCTGGATTCAGCTCCCGGCCGGGCCGGGCTGGCAGGCCGGCGGTGGGCAGGCGGCCTTCATTGCAAGGCCATCCCAGCACCGGGCTCTTAGTCCCTTTGTGCTGAATGTGTCATACAGATGCGGGGCTCCCGTGGGTGGGTAACGGGTGACGTCGGGGCTCATGCAGTCACTCTGAACGTTCTCAGCCTCAGTCTCTTCCTCTGTAAAACGGCTGTGAGGGTAGCACCTGCCTCGTGGGCTTGCGGTGCGGCTGTGCGAGGTCATGCTTGCCGGGGAGCGGCGCAGTGTGAGTGCTCTGTAACGAACTGGTGAAAAAGAGGGCTGAGACCGAACGCGAGCATCCCGCACCCTGGGAGAGGCTCCACGCCCAAACAGAGGGACCGCTTTGGTTTCCTGGGGGAGGAGGGCGTCGGTAAGGCAGCAGCCCTTGTGGAGAAAGACCCTCAAGCCCAGGGACTGAGGCAGAGGCTCTGGGGACAGAGTCACATGGAGAGAGGCCCTCCTTGCTGACTGCCAGGCAGAGGCTGCTTCCTACGGGGGAGACTCTCCGGCCCAGGGCTTCTGGGAGGCCGGTGCCGCTGCTTCTGCTGCTGCTTGTTTGCAGAGTGGCTCTTGGGGTCCTGTCCCTCACGGGCCCTGTCCTCCTCTTGCATTGTAGCCCGGTACCAGGGTGCTATTAGGCAGCAGAGGAGTAGCTGGGCTGCCGGGGGTCTGTGGAGTCCCCTTGTCCTTCTCTTCGGTGTCTTTCTCTTTCCCTCACGGGCTCATCTTTCTGTTGCCTGGCCCGTCCTTAGAGTCAAGGAGCCCTGGCCCACCTGATAGCGCACGTGACAAGCCTTCGTGTTCCTCTCAGTGGCCTGTTCTAGTAGGTATTTCTTGAGCACCTGCCATGTGGGGGGCACATGGCGCAGGGAGAGAGCGACTCAGCCCCCAGAGCTGGGGGCCCGTGGGCCTGTCTCCCGGAGCCTCGGTTTCCACGTCCTGCAGTGGAATCCTGCCGTGTGCCGGCGTTTGCAGGATTCCAAGGGACCGCAGCACATGGGAGGCACCGGCTCCGTCCCTCCCGCCTCCGGCCCCTCCCCGCGCTTGCCGAGGCGGGAATGCCAGCAGTCCCTGGCTCGCCCAGGCCCGTGTGCTGGTGGGCGCCCTGGTGACTGCCCATTTTTACCCGTGATCAAGGTGTGGCCTTGCCCTGCACCATAAACTGGGAGGCAGCAAGATTTCATCTTAGGCATGACCGGTTTTCAATAGCAGGAACGAGAACACCCCGTGGGTCCAGCCAGACTTTTCATGGGGGTCTTGGACTCTTCCAGGGCTGGACAATGCTCAGCCAAAGATAAAATGCCACATTATTATAATCACCAAAGCCCCTGCCTGTCTCCTGGAGATAAAGGACTCATGTTCTGGCCCTGATCAGTGGAATTCCCCCGGGAGAGCTGGGGACAGCTTGGCCCTGTCACTTGGTCATTTCCCCCCTTATCCTCCATGCAGGGTCCTAGCTGGAAGCCAGTACAAGGTCGAGTTTCATAAACGTTCTTAAGAAAAATCCGGACAAGCACATTTGGGTGGGGAGGGCAGCGGCCTATTCCCTTCCTGTTAAAAAGCTGCCCTTTCAAGTAGCACAGCCTCCTCTGCACCCACTTAGATAAAAATGCCTTACTAGTACAGTCACGTGCTCACAACAGTGTTTTGTAAAAGTGCTTCCCTCTTCACTCTTGTGAGCAGGATTACAGGCCCCTCCCCAGCTTTGTGTCTGCCCCTGCCGCCCCAAATTTTGGGAACTTGATACAAAGAAGTGGTTTTATGCTTTTCCACAGGAGAGGGGAGAATAAAGCTGGGTGAGGAGTGGGCGTGGGAGCAGAGCAGAATGGAGCCCAGGGCCGTCCCCGCAGGGCGCCGTCCAGCAGAGACCACGTTTTGCCTCTTGGTTTCCTTGGTTGCCTCCCAGCTGCCCTCAGCACACCTGTGCAGAGCCGGGGTTTCCTCTGCAAACAGCTTCTGTGGGGAAGAGCCATGCGCGTTGCTGGTTCTTGTGTTTTCGACACAGGAAACCTTGGTCAGGTGGCAGCTTCGTGGGGGTAGCAGGCCCGGCAGGTGGCCAAGATTTTCAGTGGGCGCAGGAAGGGGCTTGGCCGTGCCCGAGAGACTCACTCTGCCCTGGGAGAGACCGGGGCTGCACAGGAGCCCTTGGCACCTCCAGCCCCTCCAGCCCCTCCAGCATGTGCAGGGGGAGATGCTTCTGCACGTTGAGCCAGGTCACGCGTGTAATCTTCTTTGGTGAAACAGAGCGAGCGTGGTGAGAACAGGCTCTGTCCCCCGCCGCCGCCCCCTGTTGGTTCACTGCTCCCACTAAATGAGTGCTGAGTCCTGGGGACAGCGGGCATTGTGCACCCTATTTTCTGCCCCTCTCGGGCAAGGAGGAGACCTGGAAATCACATGATGTATGTGAAAGCAAATGCAGTGCCAGTTACTGCAAAAAGGCCACTGGGAAGAGTCCTGTAAATAGGAGTCAATGGACAGAGAACAAAACAATTCATATGCTAAAAAAAAAGAAAAAATGGATGGAAACCCATAATTACTTTAGGAGTTATGGTAATAAATTATTTATTAATGTAAATTATTTCACAGGCAAAGAACATAGAGGAAACTTGAGCAGAAGGATCATACATTATGTATAAAAAGGAATTGTAAAAATATTATAGCAGCCCTGCTTTGTGAGGCTTGGTTCAGGTTTGTCAGCATTTTAATTGTAAGCCCTTGCTTTCCGAGTTTAATTACTTGGCTGTTAGAGTCCACTCTGGACATGCAGGGGGTTCCTGGGGGCGCGGTCCGTGGCAGTTTCTGCAGGGTTAGCCAGTTGGCTGTGCTGAGCTGTGCAGGGGGAAAGATCCCATTCTGAGACCTGGCAGCCCTTGGTCTTCCGATCCTGCCCCTGGTCCTCATTGAGAGTGGGATGGGATCACTACCTTGTGTGGAAAAGCTGGCTCTTGGAGGGTGAGCATTTCTGATTCCTTACACCAGACAAACTGACTGAAGCAAAACAAGCAACAGCAGTGGCAAAGCCGGAGTTCTGTGGGCCCGCGTCCTGGTCTCTGCTGCTTGCCCCGTTTCTCAGAGCGTGCCAGTTGGAATAACGATTATGGGACCAGGGCCTCCGATAAGAAACTGATTATGAACCAAAACAGGCTCCAGTGAGCCCTTGTTTTCATTTTAAAGAGGACAGCCACCACCAAGGGTGCGTCTGCGTGATCTTTAAACATTCTCTCTTCGTTTTTATGGATTGCCATGCGACTTTTCAGATTGAAATAGTTTAAGGCTTAGTTTAGGGTTTGTCCTCGCAGAGTGCTCTCAGTTTTTTCTTGCGCTATGAATTGCTTTCTGACAGTGTTTTTGGACTGAAGTACGGAGTGGAAGTAGGTGCAAAGTGTAGCTGGCATGTGCCGGC